AGAAAAGGTTCTGGGAGTGTTACATTCTTGCTGGCCATAATGAAAAGGCCTTGTAATACACAGGATATCAAGTAGAGTCCTCAGAAGAATTATTGTCCTAGCAGTAGGGCCAAAGTAGTTCTAGACTGTTCTTGAAAGGCTGAACACTAGGCTCAAAAGAATCGATCTTGGGCTGGGGACATAGCTCAGCGGCCTAAGTGCCTGCCTGGCAAGTGCAAGGTCCTGAGTTTGATTCCTCAGTACCGGGGGGGTGGGGGTGGGGGACACAAACAACTAAATTTCAAGCAACTTATGTCCCAGAACAAGAACAAAGAATATTTGAAGGAGTACTGAAAAAGATTTTAGAACATAAAACTCAGTGATTGGTATCTGTTTAAAGTTATAAGGCATACAAAGAAGCAGACAAATATGGCCCGTATGTAGAGAGAAAAACAAATCAACAGGAAAAAGACAAAAACACAGAAGTAACCCAGGTAATAGAATTGGTGGGTAAAAATGTTAGAACAATTAAAAAGTTAATAGAATGAGTATATTAGAATGATTGCATGTAACATGGTGAAATCATCCCATCCTCCCTCCAATCACAAGGACTTTATTCCTAATAACTGTTTTCTGCCTGTCCTGGATCAGTTTTTTGGAAGGATTGGCTGAGGAGAAAACACTTCCTCTTTAAGGCAGGCAGCTATATGAGAAAAATGCATGACTGGTGAGAATACAGACAATCATCTGATGAAAAAATTAGGTAGTTTACTTTATGATTCTGTTTCTGTGTGAAATACGAGGTGAGGTTATCACCTGAGAGTAAGGAAGAACTGTAAGGTGAATGAAGGGATGGGAAAGCTGATCTAGTAAAAAGATGAGGTAGGACTGATGGAATTTCTAAGGGCACAATAGTTGTGATCATTTTCAACTGAGATTAATCAGCTCATTTGTGCAGTTGAGTGGAAATCAAGCATTCAACTTGATTTGCAGCACAAAACAGGTAGATAGTATAGTGTAAGAGGTGCGGTTTTCCTAACCAGTACAGTGGAGGCCGAGAGGGATGAAGAAATCAGCATTTTGTGAGATTCAAAACCAGGGATGGGAAGGAAGACATGGGATCTGATAAGTAGTGGAAAATTGTGTAAGACTTACAGAAATCATTTGGAGAGTGGGAGTGATTAAATAGGTGAGTTAAGGCGGGAAGGTGGTTTAAAAAATGGGATGCTTGAATTTAGATTTCAGAGGTGGTGCAAAATCTAGCATGTAACCACAGGTGAGGAAGATGGAGTATAGGTCAATGTTAGTATACAAGTCATAGTATTGTGATTGTATGCAAATTATCACTAAGAGTGATACCAGAAGGTGTGACATTTGAGGAGTTAACTGTAACTGAGCAGAACAACTTGGGAGATAAAGAAATCATATGAGCTTTTGAGAGGATTGAATTTTTTGTTTTGAGACAGTGTCTCACTGTACTTTAGGCTGGCCTTGAACTCACTATGTAGCCCACCTAGACTGGTTTAAAACTTGCAGTGATCCTCCTGTGTCAGTCTCCCTAGTGCTGGGATTATAGATGTGTGCCATCATGCCTAGAAGATTATTTTGTCTTCGAAAGCAAGCAAAGAAGAAATGGTATACAACTAGTGGTGGGAACTAAGGAAAATGAATACTTAATCCATCTGTAAGTTTGTGGGACATAGGGAAGGAAACAGCTGTAGGGGATCCTGTTTATGGGAAACAGTACCAGGTTTCAGTTAGAGCAAGATGATAAAGGAACATTGTTATGTACTTAGGTATTCTAGAGAACACGGTGAAATTGTAAATGTTGAGATATGACAGCACATGCCTGTAATCCTAGCACTCAGGGAAGGCTGAGGCAGGAGGACAGCCTGGCCTGCACAGTGAGTTCAAGGCCAGCCTGAACTCTACACAGCAAAATGTAGAGTTCATAAATAATATTTTACTTTGTCTCATAAGTAAATAAGAATTTGAGAATGTGAGGAAGAGTGGGTGGCTGGGTCAGATTAGAAAATTTATTGATGAGATTGATGATAAAGGCCAGTGTGATCTCCTTAAGTATTGGATTTTCTTGCGTGGATAAGGAAAAATGGTGAGATTTATTTTGGCAATCTCAAATGAGCAAAGAGTACAAGATACCTTCTTTGCTAAATACTCTCATCTAGTAGGCACCATCCTGAAGCTAGAGATGGTGAAATAGTTTGAAGAGGAGTAGTTCTACCAGGTAGAAACTGATGGCCCATTGAGCTTCAAGAATTACCTCATTTCTGCTGCACTGTAGTATAAATGTCTTCATAATGAAGGATTTTTATTCTGTACACTTTTTCAATGCTCAGAAAACCTCAGGTTTTTATTAAAAAATCTGAAAGTTCTGTTTTTCTTTATAGTGGTTTTCATAGGACACTGTACCATTCTACCACTCTACAGACATTTTGGAAGGGCACTTTCAATTATTACAGTGACTAGGGGGTGCTGCTGACAGTTAAGGAGAGAGGGCCAAGAGATATAAATCCCATTATGGGAAAAAAAAAAAAAAAAAGATCCCCCTCCCCCGATAAAGGGAGGAAACCCAGTCTTGACTTTGGACTATCTATTCCCTAGAATGTTCCAAGAGATAAAATACCCAAATATGAGTTGCCCATGTCTAGGGCCTAATTCATTTTGCATATTGGCATAATTTTCCATGAATGCAACAATGTATGTAAAGGAGAATTATACTTTTTCATTGAGAATGTTCATAGAAGGGCCCACTTTATCAACAGCAGCAGCATTCATGGTATTTATTTATTTGACTTTTGAGACAAGGTATTACCGTGTCACTTGGGCTGGCCACAAACTATGTAACCCAGATTGGTCCTGAGCTTATGATTCTTCGCCTCAATCTCCTGAGTGCTGGTACACAGACGTACACATTGTATAACCATTTGTAGTATTTTAGTCAACAAAGTCCACATCTGTAGTCTTTTTTTTTTTTTTTTTTTTTAAGCTATTGACTGATTTTTAGCAGGCATGAGCATCTGTGATTTTTGTCTTCCTGGATAGACACTTCCTGGTTCAGACATAAATTACTTTCTTTTTCTTGCTAATTTATTTTATAATTAGGTCTTTGTATTATTTGAGCTTGTATAATTAGGATGATCAAGGAGTATACTGAGTGCACATTGATTTTTTTATACAAATCTAGTTCGATTTAGGGTGATTAAATGGTATCCGAAAGCATGGCTTTATGCAGACAAGAAAAGTTAGTTCAAATGGATTATTTACCTAAATACTTTCAGTATCCCAAGGGCTGCCTTATATGTAAATTGTTTTTTAAAAGAATTCGTTAGCTGTCAAAGGAGGAAAATGTTTCTCAAGCTTTTTAACAAGTTCTATATGTTAGAGTCCTTGTTAAAAGCCCTGAAGGCTGCTCTGTCATTTAAATCTAAGATTTCCTATTTAAAAGTTAGAGTGCCTTCTTGAGAAGGTTTATAATTGTTTCTTAACATGTCTTCCTACTTTAAGTTGACAAAGCTGTGCCCTCTCAGTTTTCAAGATCTTGCTGAAATATATTTGATTATTATTTTGATATATAAAAATTCTTAATTTTTTATAGAATAAAATGAAAATATTGACAAGGTTTTATTGGGCTCTATGTCACAGGCCCATCTCCATTTTCACTCTGTTTTCTTTTTAAACCCTATATTTCCCATTTCTTGTTGTATAATACGTTATTCCCAGGTTTAATACATATCTTAAAACAGTGAAAATAAACCTTTCAGACTTTGAATGATACAGATAGCCCACTGCAGCATACATGCTGTATGTTCACTACCCCTGTTTACTTTGTAATTTTTTTTGAAATTTTTATAAAGCTTATTAATTTAAGAGCCACATCTTTTTTTATTTTATTCATTTATTTTTTTCATAATTTTATTGATAAACAGATAGCAATGAGACAGTTTCAAATCAAAATGGTAGGACAGTTTCAATAACATACTGCATATATTCTTCTTAGTGGTTAATTGCTGTACAAGATGCGGACTTGAGATCCTATTTACAAACACCATTAGAACAAATCATTCTGTTCATTAAGAGAATGTAACTATATATCTATCCCATCCACTTTGAATACACAGATACAAAATGGATATTCATCTGTATACCCCTTTTTTTCTAAGTTCCATTATTTGAATATTATAGGTGTGTAAACTCAGTAAAATATTCTAAGAGTCCAGTAGCCCATAATAGCATTGGGTCTTCTGATTAACTGGCAATGTGAGAAATTATTGACCTGAGTCCCCCACAGCTCAACATAACAGCATGGCTTTACTTCCTATATTTCATCTTCATATTTTTCTACTGGATGGTTAAGACCAAGGTAAAGCAGGACCTATGCAACAAGAGTTGTAGCTTTTGGGTCTGAGAATACTTTGTAATTTTTAAAGGGTATAAAATAGTATTAAAACAAAAAATTACAAATGATATAGAATTTTGTTAAAATAATATGAATTTCACAGTATTTGTTGTATTGCAGTGTTGTCTTCAAATTAGTTGTTCATATTACCAGATCTATGCATGCAAAATTAGAAGAAAAAAATTACAAGAAATAGAGAAAGGAAAAGGAATTGAAAAAAAAGATACAAATTAAGCGTTAACTGCTCCTTTCCATAGGTCAACAGAAATCCACAGTACTACAGTTGTCTGAACCATCCTGCTTACATACATGAATATATCTCTTTCTCCCACGCCCCTCTTCTGTCCTTCTGACCTCAGTAATTCATTTCTTTTGAATAGGTTTTTTCTCCTTTCCCAATATCTATTGTACCCTTCAGATTTTATATTTTTCTCTTTCAGGTTCTTACACTAAGGAGACAATATGATGTTTGCACATGCAGGTCTGATTATTTCACTTAAGAGCATGGTCTCTAGTTGTATCCACTTACTGATAAAAACCTCAAATTTATCATTTTTATAGCTCAATAATTCTTCATTGTGTAAGAATATAGCATCTTTATTTATAAAATATGGAACACTTCATAGATTTGTGTGTCATCTTTGCGCAGGGGCCATGCTAATCTCTATATTGTTCCAGTTCTTAGTATATGTGCTTGCTGAAGTGAGCACCACTACCACTGTTTAAACCAACACTTCCTATTTCAGTTTTTGAGGACTGGGAGTTTAGGAGGGACTTACTTAGGTGATACTGGCCCAAGCTTTTCATGTCACAGTATAGCCCTTGCCTACAGTTAAGTCTTCTAAAGGCTTAGGCATGTCTGGAGAATTCACTTGCAAGTTCATACACATGGTTGTTAACAAGCTTGATTCTTTGCTGACTAAAGTTCTCCACTAATACATGGGTTTCTCATCAGCTAGTTCAGTGTCCTTACAACAGGGCAGCTTCCCTAGGATGAATGATTTGGAGGGGGAGTGTCTGTTGAGGATCAAGAGGGGAGAGCTTATTGGAGGCTTTTGGACCCTAAAGATTCATCTTTCTTACAATGCAGATTTACTTCCCTCCCAAATCTTCCCAAATGTCTTCCCACTGCATTATCAGCTCAAAGCCCAGAATATCTAAATCAAGTTCAGGTATAATTGAAGTTTCTTGGATATAGTTCCTTAATTTTCATACAAGCTGAATTAAGTAGTTTCACTTGATTAATGAAGCTAAAGAGGTGTGTTGTCAGCTCGCCCTGAGTATACGATATTGGTTCATACTTACTGTGGTAAAATACTTGGTGTTCAAAGAGAATGTTGAGGAGGGGTGGCAGACACAAGGGTATTTCTTCTCCATAGTGAATTTGAAATCAGGTGAGGCAGTATCAGAAGTTTCTTGGCTTTAGTTTCAAATTCCTAGTTTTAGGTCATTCATAGCTCTTAGCTTTGCTGTTTGGGCATTTGGTTCTGTGCTGATAATGCCCTTTTTCATGAAAGGTAAAGTATGTATGTAACCAGGTACTTAGGTTTGCTTCTTGTCAATTTTTGGGCCTCTGAAGAGCTGCTTTCTCACCCGTCAGTACTGGGAATTGAACTTGTGGCCTTTGCACTGAGTTACATCCCCAGCCCTTTTTTGTTTGAAACAGGGTCACACTGAATCACTGAATCGCCCAGGCTGGGCCTGAAGTTGTAATTTTCCTACCTCAGCCTTCTAGAGTGCTGGAGTTACAGATATATGTTACCATGTGAGCTTTCCTCTTCTCATTTTTACTGTCTCTTGTCTCTTTCCAATAAAGGAAATAATGTTTTTGAAAAAATAATTATTTTCAAACTTTTGAGTCTGTGGATTCTTTGGGGTCTGTTCATTAAGCCATATGTGTGAATTTCTTTGAGATCAGCCCTTTACTCTCCTGAGCTACTGCTGCAACATTTTAAGCTTCCCCCAAAGCCCTGTTACTTTGTTTAGATAATCTGTGAAGCACATCTATCTCTTTAGCGGGTCTTTTGCACAATGAAGTAATATTCTGTAGCACTTTGTTTCTTAGGTCTTGTATTTGTCAGCTTCATGTTTGGACTATGTTTTTGTGGCAGTGCTGGATTTGATCTTAGCTCAGAATGCATTTTTTTTTTATAGAATATTTCTAAGTTGTAACATTGTTTATGATTTATAGACAGTGCAGTTTTTCCAAACCATCAAATAACTCTTGGCTCCTGTTAAGAACTTTTGATTTAATTTAATTTGTACTATGTACAGCAAAAAAGAAAAAAGCAGTTAAACTGATTGAAAAATCTTAGTTCAGTCATCCATTTGTCAGGTACAGGTCATACTTTACACAGAACCTAGGATGACAGTGATACTAAAATTTTCTTTATTAAAGGGGGTAGGTAAACCTTTCAGTTTCTGATAACGTCTGCATCACTAATCTCCCCACACTTGCTGCCTATTATGCACTAGGGAGGCTTTGTTGACAGCTTCTAAACTAATGTACTATCCTGAAAGCCCATGGCCTGGTCCTATACCCTTTGTGATATATTTTTATGGGTTTTGTTTTGTTTTGTTACAGGCTCTTCAATGTAGTACCAATAGGCATGTTACCTCTGTGTACCCAAAACTTAAAGCAGCTTAAAACAATATCTATATGGGACTGAGGAGTTAGCTCATTAGAATAAGCGAGAGCCTGAGTTCAATCCCTGGTTCTGCAAAAATCATCATCATCATCATTTATATAAACAGTTTCTGAGGATCAAGAATCTTGGAGCAACTTTCCTGGATTGTTCTGGCTCAGGTTCAGAAAAGCTATTAGGGTTGTCAGCCCTGCCTGCAGACACAGCTCTTTCAGGCTCCCTCACACCATTGACTGGAGACTATTCCTCATCTCCCATGCCTCTATTGGCTAACCTGCCTGTCCTCAAAATACCACTTCTGCTTCTTGGAGCAGGAATCCAACAGAGAGTTAAGAATATATGCAAGACAAAAGCTGCAGTATTTTATCATGTAATCTTAGAAGTGACATTGCTTCTACCTTATGCCTGTAGTTGTACGGACAAACTGTGGTACTTTGTGGAAGGAAAATGACCTTGAAATCTGAATACCAAGAGGCAAGAATCCCTGGGTACCATCTCAAGGGCTGGCTACATAAACCCTTTCTTAAGTGACCTGAACTATTACTGTACCTATGTTGTCTTAGAAGCACCATGTTGTTTTTCACCTGTGTCTTTACTTATATATCTGCCTTTAACCCTAGGTACTTTTCTTTCTCCCTTTATGTGTCTACTTAAATTCTTTTACTGGCAACTTCTGTGAAGTCTTTAGTCTTAATCCCTGTCGTAGCACCTTAACTTCAGAAAACATGCATTTACATGACTTAGATGATTACAAAGCCTATTAAAAGGAAAAGTATTATTATATTTTGAGGGCTTAATATTGCTGTGGTATGTTTCTGAAATTAATTTGTAAATTGTTCTGGGAAAGTCTAGGCACTCAATTTTATAGGGCTGGCAAGATAGCTCAGCAGAGTGCCTGCGTAGGCAAGCACACAGGGACAGGACTTAGATCCCCAGCACCACATGCTGCACCAGCCCTGTCCCCAGGCATGCTGAGCTGGCCACCGAGACTTGAGTGTAGTGGCACATGCTTGTTATCCCTGCACTGGGGAGGCTGAAAACAGGATCACCACAAGTCCGAGCTGTGTAGTGAGTCCCTGTACCAAATACATTAAAATAATAACTTTGTGCTATAAAGTAGTAGGTACCTGTCTGTTGTATTCCTGCCTTTGAGTTTTTGGAGCAAGGCTAATGAGAGGATTTAAAACAGGACTTACAGAAAGTGTGTAAAAAATTCTAATAAGACAAAATTTTAAGCTAGAGAAAATTTCGTTGCCTTCCCAAAAGTATGTTTTGTGGAATTTTCTTCCAAAAGTAAATGTTTGGTGTGTTGACTTACAGATAACTTATATATCAAGTACTTTGTTCCTGGGGAGATAGTCCAGTGGCATAAGCATCTGCCTGGCAAATGCAAGGTCCTGAGTTCGATCCCTGATACCCCCCACCCCATCACATACTTTGTAAACATATTTTCAAAGTAAAGCTAAGTACTGTGGGTTCTACAAACAAATATCTTTTCCTTCAAGGAGCTGATAATTCATATAGCTAATGAAATAAGGTAGTTACTGATGTAAAAAGCAGAAATATTTATTTTGCTTTGGATAGTTTATATGTTACCACTCAGTGTATTAAAGTGTAAACCAATGTTTGATAATGTTACTGTGAAAATAATTTGTATGAGGTAGATATAAATCATCATATGAAGTGAAAATCTATTTTTTTCCATAAATTTATTGAGAAATAGCAATGAGACAGTTTCACAACAAACAGGTAGGACAGTTTCAATAATTAACCCATTGTATACATTCTTTCTAGTGGTTAATTGCTGTACAAGATGCAGACATGATATCCTACTTACAAACACCATTAGAACAAACCCCTCTATTCATTAAGAGAATGTAACTGTATATCGATCGTAGCCATTTGAATACACAGATACAAAATGGACATTCATCTGCATCCCCTTTTTGTTAAGTTCCATTATTTGAATATTATAGGTGTGTAAACTCAGCAAAATATTCTGAATGAGTCCAGTAGCCCATAATAGTATTGGGTCTTCTGCTTGACTGGCAATGTCAGAAATTGTTGACCTGAGTCTCCTACAGCTCAACATAACAGCATGGCTTTACTTCTTATATTTCATTTTTATACTTTTCTGCTGGATGGTTAAGACTAAGGTAAAGCAGGACCTATGCAACGAGTTGTAGCTTTTGGGTCTGATAAGGTCAGTGAAATCCCCTCAGTATTTATCCTGAGATCCTGTACCTCAGATTGTAGAACGTTTGTCAGTGTCATCCATGTGGATGAGTCATGGCTATTGCTTGGCCAAGAAAATCTATTCTTGTACTCTATTTAAAATGTTTTTTAGGGTTGGGGAGCTAGAGCAGTAGAATAAGCACCCGCCTGGCAAGTGCAGGGTCCGAGTTCAATCCCTGGTACCACACACACACACAAAAAAAAGTTTTTACATTAAAATAGCCTCACAGCTACTTTGAAGACAATAATACACAATATAACAACTATTGTTGAATTCCTATCTTTTTCAGTGAAATTTTGTATTTTTTCTATTTTTTTTTAAGTTTTTATTTTCTTTAAAAAAAATACTTTCTCTCTGATCTGCAAGAGTTATATCTGTTCCTTTTTATTTAACCACTTTTTCTACTGTTTGATCTGTAAGATCACTTAGGAAAAAGTGTATGTAGCCAGCCCTGGAGATAGTACCCAGGGATTCTTGCCTCTTGGTATTCAGACTCACAGGCCATTTCCCTTCCACACAGTACCATGGTTTGTCTGTACAACTAAGAGCATAAGGTAGAAGCAACTAAACATCACTTCTAAGATTAGATGAGAAAAGACTGCGGCTTTTGCCTTGGCTATATTCTTAACACACTCCCTTTGTGGGTTCTGTTCTAAGTGATGTAGTTCCACTTACCTACAAAAGTTGGATTCTTTTATTCTGTACACTAGGAAATAGTATAAACTAATATATATGTTATATATGTATATATACATAAATATGCTTTGATTGGTTTATCTTGGGCTTTTTTCTCTGTACTAATTTGAAATACCCATTTCAGTTGTATTTC